TCAGTTTTGATCTGTGACCTCGAAATATTCCGTGTCCCACCTCCATATATCTGTGACCTTAACAATTGTCGAAATCGGAACAGTCGCCGAAATTAAGTGCGGCCGAAGAACGGTCACCGGAATTCAGTGCGGCAGGAGAACAGTCGCCGGAGCGATGGGGGTGGTGGAGATGGAGTTTGGTGGGGTGGGGTTAATTATATTATATTATAGTTAAATATTTAATTTAATATAATAATTGTGAAATATAATTAATTAATTCAAAAAAAATCTAATTTTTGCAATTTTAAACATTGGAACCTAATTTTTGATTTCGTAAAAGTAAATCCCTGAACCATGAATTTTTCCCAAAAATTAACATACCCAAAATATATGGCGAGGCCCACTATAGGGCCACTTAGTGAGATGCCTTTTTGGCCCAGCTCGCGAGACTCGACCGACCGATCGACCGACGATCCAGAACTGACAGTGAACCCAAAATGGCCAAAACTTTGTGAAATTATCAAATCAAGTATCAGACTTGGCTAAAGTCTAAGATAAAAATGTGATTATCTACTAATGGTCATATCACCCCAATATATCCTGTCAAACCTTACCTCTAACAAACCATGAGTTATGGGAGATTGTAGCTCACGTCATCAGGCAATGACAACACTTCTACAATAAAATGTCCCTATTGTTAATAATCCAAGAAATGCTCAATCATAATCACTCGAGCATACTTTTCATCTAGCACTATCTCATCCTTTTGATAAGCATCATTAACTTGATTGTCAGAGAGTCTTCAATTGGTTGACACGACAGTTATATTTTCTTAAGAATTTTTAATGGTTCTTTCTTTGTTCTATTTTTTTATAAAGTTCCACAAGATTGTTGGTGGCATAATCGTTCTGTTCTTCTCAATTCTAAAAGCACTTGTCTACAATTTGATGCCAATCGTGGGGGCCTTACACGATTAATTTGACAGTTCGATGAACAAAGCTCTTGCCTTATAGCCTTACTATCTACCAATCCTTATCATCATCATGTTTGGAACCTCAGAAACCCACCACACAGATGGATCTTATACCAACTAAACATTGGATGAGGTGACCCGTCAGGAAGCAAAGTAGATGGTCCACCGAGGTCGAAGCGAAAGATAACAAAGGATTAGCTCTGTCCTAATCATCTCTTAACCAACCATTGTCTAGTTGGTAATTGCTCAACTGACAACCGTCTAGTCGATCACTGTTGAATATTGATGGCAATTTTGTCATTTATATTCAACTATAGGGCAATGATGAAATGGGCTTGGCCCAAGATTGTGGAAAATGTTTTACTTAAAGCCATTGCCCAATAACTCAAATGGACTTAGCCTAAAACCCGACCCAAAACTAGATGCCAAGTGTGTTGCTCTGGACCGCAGATCTCGTGCCTAATTTATGGTGAGATAGTGGCTTATAAATGAAAGCTAGACGGTCATTTCTGTGTGAGATGAATTCATTCTATTGTTCTCCGCCTGTAATACCCAGACCACGAAAGCTTAAAAGATTGGATAGGTACTACTCATACCACCAAGGTGCACCTTCTTTTTCGGAAGTCCATCGTTGGAAACTCCACAGTTAAGCGTGCAATTGGATAGGTACTACTCATACCAATAAGGTGCACCTTCTTTTCTAGAAGTCCATCGTTAGAAACTCCACAGTTAAGCGTACTTGACTTGGAGCAATTCTATGATGGGTGACCCACTGGGAAGTTTTCTTGGGGAGCGTGCGAGTGAGGATAAAGCATGCTGAAAAGACCCATGTTGGTACAGTGTGGACAGTACGTAGTCGATCTAACGGCCGGGACGGCCCGTTAAGTGGGACCCAGGTCGTTACAAATGGTATCAGAGCTAGGTTGCCAGCCGGAAATCGAGAACTAAGTGCTATGCGGGACAAAGTGCTACGTCAAGGGCGGGAGCCACCTCTTGAACCCGTAGGAGCCACCTCTAGAATCCCAACGCCTGGCAACGAATCCTAGATGGGTCATGCGCGACGAGGACATCGCGAGTCTAACAGGGGGTGATTGTAATACTTAGACTACGAAACGAAAGCTTAAAAGATTCGATAGGTACTACTCATACCAATAAGGTGCACCTTCTTTTCTGGAAGTCCATCGTTAGAAACTCCACAGTTAAGCGTGCTTGACTTGGAGCAATTCTATGATGGGTGACCCCCTGGGAAGTTTTCTTGGGGAGTGTGCGAGTGAGGATAAAGCATACTGAAAAGACCCATTCTGGTACAGTGGGGACAATACGTCGTCGATCTAACGGTCGGGACGACCCGTTAAGTGAGACCCAGGTCGTTACACTGCCTTTGTGAAAGAGAAATATTCTAGGCTTCTGCTGTCTCGTTTGTCTCTCTCCTGCCTTGTTCGATTCTTTGTGAAATAGATAGGTTTTAATCACGAATCTGTGTGATTCTAGTCTTGGTGATTGTTCAATTGAGGAGTTAGAGGGATTAGATAGGCTGTAGAGATTTAGTCCATTGAAGTAGCTGCTTTGTGCGATTCTTGTTAGGGTTTGGATTTTGTTGGCTTGTTCTTTGTGAACAGACGGGTACAATGTATTCTTTGTGAATTCTGAGCCCCAAATAAAATCGATATTACTTTGTTTATATTAGTCTGTTCTTGGTGAATATTCTACTGCTTCCGCGTGTTATTGAGGCTCATATCCTTACAAGTGGTATCAGAACGCTGTTGAGGGTGTGAGGAGCCTTCGTTTGAGATTTCATCACAGAAATTTTAAGGTTCTGTTGATATTTGGTTTTTCTCGATTTTACTGCAGTAAACCCTAATTTTTCCTTCTACTTGATTTGGCTACTAAGTTCTTTCTCTGTTTGTATTCTTGCGAGGGAACCTTGTTCTTGGTGAACGTTTTTGGAGATTGGGCTGCAAGCTAGGTGTTCTGCAGAGTCTCCAGTTTTTCTTCTTGGTGAATTGTGCTTGGAGTTTGGGCTTCAAGCTAGCTGAAGGCTGATTATTGGAACTACCGCGACTGGTTTGAAGTGGTGGAAGTGCAACGTGAGATGGTGGTGCTCTTCAACATGATGACATGGTGGATATGCATGGGGTCCTTTTCATGCTTATCCGAAAAGAAAGAGGGATGTCCTAATGGTAGAGTGTCCTCAAAAGTGGGATGAGAGGATTAGTACAACCTTGGGTGGAGGGTCCAAAAGCACGACTCTCGAGTTGAAAAAACATAGTAGTGAGCACGAATAGGACCTTTAGACAACCTAAAAAGGCCAAGAGAGTTGTTCCCGTAGCCCCTGCAATGCTTAAGTGAGAGAGCATTTGGAGAAAAATACCTAAATAATAAATTAGACATGAGCATGTATAGTGAGAGTAAATGTGTAATTCTACAAGGATGCAAACACTAGTGAAATAATGAGTAGATCAAAACGTAGTAGATATGGTGGAGTAGGATTCCTCCACATGGGACGACTATGAACCTCAAGATGAACCTATATTGAGTCGAGGTCACGGAGTTGAAGTGGAACATACCAACAAGCCGATGATGGGGGGGGGGGGGGGTCAAGGACACCATGTCGAAGGTGTCTACTTCGCCAATCAAGACATAACCAAAAACTATAATGTACATGTGGCTAGGAATTTTGGTACTCGAGGTCGGATTGAAAGTTATGGTATCATCAGTAACCACTAAGATTAGACACACTTAAAGTTGGTTCTAATTAAGTTCAAGCAACGGTCTAACGGCCGAACCGAAAACAAAAGCAAAAACAAAAACAAAATTGGAATATATTTCTCAATCATGCTACACTAAGGGTCTGTTCTTTTTACCATTTTCAAACCGTTTTCTGTTTTCGATTTTCCAAAACAGTGAATTCAAAATCCAAAACACAAAATTCAAAATGAATTCAAAACTCAAAACACAAAAATTAAAAACAAATAGAACACTCCCTAACATTTTTGCATGACATGCCAAAATGTACACATGATAGAATTTCATTGAAATGTTTAAAAAATAGTCAATTCTCTTCTGTTAACAAAGATGTCAAGAACACCTCGCAAGAAAACTTAATTCTATATTTCTTGTATTACTTTTGAGGATATATCTATATGTACATAATTATTGTACATAATGGATTACATAGGCCAATGTGGAAAAAATTCGATCGTGAGTGTGAAGTGTGAAAAAGTAAAAAATTGTAGACTACCGATAAATACGCGCCACATGTCAATTATATAATGTATTAAGTAAATGATTATATACTTGAAACATAATCCTAATTTTTAAGGGATTCTTTCGAGAAGCACGTCTCTCTGACTATTCGCCTTAAATTTCACCCCCATAATGACAAAACAATGAGACGAAACAGTGAGCTACGCCGAGTCAAAATGGGTTTCTCAGAGTAAAACAAAGAAGAGGCAAGTCGGGGAAGTGAGAGGCACAAAGGTTAGGGTTTGAGTTCCGGGAAAAAAAAAAGAAAAAACAAGAAGATTGGCTTCATTTGGCCTTGTCTTCATACCAGAAGAAGTCTAATTCTTGAGCTCTGACATTCAGATTATTCAATCCTATTTAAGGTAACCCATCTCAGATTCAATTAAAAAAAATCCCCCTTTTGTCGTTAAATAATTAGACTTGGATCTGAGAGATCAAATATTCAATCTTGGAGTCTGAACTTTTAATCTTAGCATGCCATTGATTTTTTAAGTTCAGAGTGTCTGGGCAAATGGTATTTTATTTTATTATAGAATCTGCTATTGAACTGGAAATTTTTGACTATTGGTTTATTTTACATGAATTGGGAATTGGGTTTGGTCGCTGAATAAGCATTTTAGTATTTGGTTATCCGATTCTTGGGTATTCAAGCTTAGGTCAATACGAGGCTTTTATTTTAGACGAGTTTAAAAATTCTGACATTTTGGGCATTTCAGGCGTGTCATGAATGTGCTTAGGGTTTCCTTCAGGTTTTTGATTGAGTTATGATATTGTGGTAGTGACAATTTTTGGCATCGTTACCATGGTTGAAAAGGGGGAATCTTATGAGCCAAATCTCGGATTGGTGAGGAGTGTTTCTTTCCGGGAAGAGGAAAATTTTCATAGGCAGGCCACTGGTTTTGGGGCCAGTGGGTCAAGGAATACAAGCCCACTTGGTCGGATGGGGTCAAGGAATACAAGCCCTTCTAGGCAGAAGGGGATTAAGACTAAACCACGGGGTTTAGATGAAGAGACATTGGCCACGTTTAGTAAAGCCATACAGCCTGATATCCAGATGGAAGATAACATATGGGCCATGCTGCCAGAAGATTTATTGAATGAAATCTTAGCTAGGATTCCTCCTTTCATGATTTTCCGGCTCCGTTCTGTTTGTAAAAGGTGGAACTCAATTTTGCAAGACAATAGTTTTTTGAAGTTTCATTCTCAAGTGCCCTCTCATGGGCCTTGCCTTTTGACATATTGGAGAAACTCGCAAACCCCTCAGTGTTCAGTCTTTAGCATGCCTTTAAAACAATGGTTCAGGATACCCTTTACGTTTTTACCACAGTGGGCATTCTGGTTGGTTGGTTCTTCAGGGGGTCTCGTATGTTTCTCAGGACTGGATGGGCTGACATTCAGAACTTTAGTTTGCAATCCCCTAACACAAACTTGGAGGACTTTGCCAAGTATGCATTATAATCATCAAAGACAATTAATTATGGTTGTTGATCGGAAGGATCGGTCTTTTAATGTTATAGCCACCAGTGATATTTACGGTGATAATTCTTTGCCCACAGAAGTGTATGATTCAAAGCTTGATAAGTGGTCACTTCACCAAACAATGCCTGCTGTAAATCTCTGCTCCTCAAAGATGGCATATTGTGACTCAAGGTTGTATCTGGAAACTCTTTCCCCGCTTGGTTTGATGATGTATCGGCTGGATACAGGACAATGGGAACACATACCAGCAAAATTCCCACGGTCTTTGTTGGATGGGTATCTAGTAGCTGGCACTCAGAAACGTTTGTTTCTAGTTGGAAGAATTGGCCTTTATAGTACAATTCAAAGCATGAGGATATGGGAATTGGATCATACAAAATTTGTCTGGGTTGAGTTAAGTCGGATGCCTCCGCGGTATTTTCGAGCTCTTCTTAGATTATCTGCAGAAAGATTCGAATGCTTTGGACAGGATAATCTAATATGCTTCACATCTTGGAACCAGGGGAAAGGTCTTCTATATGATGTTGATAAAAAACTGTGGTCTTGGATTGCTGGTTGTGCTTTTCAATCATACAACAGCCATGTTTGTTTCTATGAGCCGAGATTTGATGCCATGATTTAATAATTTATTTCTCAGTTTCTGGTTCAAGATATTGGTAATCAAGAGATTATGGGTGGCCATGATATTTTGTTTATATTTCCTCTTTCAATATCTTTCTACCCTTTCTGCTGTTACTCATCCTTGATGAAGATTATTTAAGTTGTCATGTTATAACTTCACCTGCTTGGTTGACATTTGACCTTGTTGCTCCTAGAGGTTTACTAGCTGAAATCAGAATCATGCAAGAGCCCTTGAAGCTGGGCTTTGATAATATCTTCTTTGATTCAGTTCTTAATTCCCAGTCGTTATAGGCTTTGATTGGTACGAGCAGCTATTCTGTGTACTGGATTACTTATGAGAGGTGGCTGCATCATGGGTTTGTTCCCCGTGGTGACATCTCAAGCACAACTAGAAGAAACTAATGATTGCGTTTAGCTTGTACACTTGAACACTAGTATAAACTGCCATTGTCTGATCTGTAACAACTGATCCTCTTTTCTTTTAACTGCCATAATGAGCCATTGATACAGTTGTGTTGTATCTCTTCTTCACATACTGAGTTTATGTTGCTCGAATGTTTTTCTGTGCATAATCCTTCTACTGATATGATTTCCCTTTGTACAAGTGTAGAACTATATCATTTCATTTGTCCTTGAATGGTGGTTGGGGCATATGTGAAGTTGCTCGTACTAATTCGACTACAAAACTTTTATTACTTTGCCGTGATATATTTTTCATGGTCGAGTTAGTTTGAACTTAGAAGGGTCTTTATTACAAGGTTTAGCTCGCACGAGAACCCTGCTTATAGTGATTTTGGTTATGCTGCATCATTGTGGTTTGGCACTAACCGATGTATATATTTTTCTATACATTTTCTCTTAATTCCTTTATCTGATTGTTAATTCTGTAATATCACTAACTTATAACATGCAATGTTTAGATACTCTTATTTATTTTAGAAATAAATGTAAAAGGGTAATTAGTACATAACATCCCTACATTTTATTGTTATTGTGGAAAACTTCCATACCTTTTATTTTTTGACATTTTCACCTTTATTTTCATATGTCATTGTGCAAAATATCATTTTCATTCATTTTTTCAATTAAAAATTGTAAAATGACGAAAATACCATTCCTTTAAATAAAAAGAAGAGGGAAAAGAAAAAATTAATTGTAGCCATAATCTTAATTTTTTTTTTCAAAAAGCGCAAATAAGTTCCAAATAAATTATTAAAAAAGTAATTAGCACATAATGTTCATGCATTTTACTATTATTGCAAAAACGTTCGCACTTTTTATTTTTTTGATATTTTCATAATTAATTACACATTTGATTACACAATCTATTCTTTTTATTAATTTTCATCCAATTTATCAATAAAAAATTGTGAAATGATGAATATACTCTCCTATTTAAACAAAAAAGCTTAAAAAAATTAATTGCAACTACAGTCTCAATTTTTTTACAAAAAGTGCAAACGAGCCCCAATTAAATTTATTTAAAAATAAAAAAATTTAAAAAGTGCAAACGAGTCCTAAATAAATTATTAATTAGAAATTAATTTTTTTTATTTAAATAGGAAGGTATATGCATTATTTCACAATTCTTTGTTGAGAAATTTGATGAAAATGATGGATTGCACAACCACACAACCACATTTGTAATTAAGGGTGAAAATGCAAAATAAAAATAAAGGTATTTTTTTCACAATAACTGTCAAAGGTAGGGACATTATGTATTAATTACCCTTTTAATAATTTATTTGGAACTCATTTACGCTTTTTAAAAAAAATTGGGACTATGGTTGCAATTAATTTTTTTCTTTTCTTTTTCTTTTATTTAAAGAGAATGGTATATTCATCAATTCACTATTTTTAATTGAGAAAATAGATGAAAAAGACATTTTACGCAATGAAATGTGAAAATAAGGATGAAAATGTGAAAAAATGAAAGATAAGAACGTTTTCCACTGCTAATTACCAATGTAAAATTATTCATATTGAATTTCAATTTGGTGCTCAATTGACGTGTTACCAAGAGGTCAAATGGATGGCTTAAAATGTGCATATAAGCACGGCCTTGCCTGCCTATTTCATTTTATTTTTTTTCCATGATCTTTACAAGATTCAGCGTTGGTTTGGTTTAACTAAATATTAGATTTTTAATAAATTTTTATAACAATTGATGAAATACGTGATTGAAAAGTTGTTAAAAGTTCTAGATTCCGTGAAATGTATGATTAAAAATGAGTTTGAGAAAAAATGAATTTTAAAAAATAGAGGCCAAACAGGGCTTAGAGTGCTTACAAGCACTTTTAGCACTCTCACCAGACGTTCAAACGGGCTGGGCTAGGTTGCCTACACTGAGTGAAAAAGACTTGAGAGGAACCATTTGGTTCTTGACAATCTTACCGTGTGCCAAGAGCCTAGCTAGTCAGATTTCTCATGGAAATCTTTACCAGGTGATGTAGACGATCGTCTATACTTTGTTCAAAAGTTATAGTCCATGACACCAATGCAATACATCATATGCATCCAAAATCAAGTCTAAGAATCCATTTCAAGTCTAGTCCATTTCAAGAGTATTCCTGCATTATTGAGTCTGGATCGGTTGTGATGGTTTGATTCTCTTGTACAACCGAGCATCCCTTCTCACCGAAAACACAGAAGACATGTTTTATTGTCCTAGATTGAATGTATTTAGTAGATGATATTGTGTTTTGTCACGTCTTTCCATGTTTGTATAAAGAAGAAAACTAGTATGATTGTCATCAAAACAGGAATCTTGTCTTGATTTTGCAAAATCGTACGGTGTGGTGGCATATTTCTGTCCCGAAGATCAAATTAATATCATGAATTTTAATTACCAAGACATGTATGGGAGACAAGGCGTTGGTACTTGGAGCTGTAATTTTTCATCCATGTGTCTCACCCTCCTTTTTCTAAAGCTTGGGAAACATTAATTCATGCAAAATAGAAAAGGATACTTTTTACATATGACAAGTATGGACAATTTCGCATTTTTGAAAAGTTAAAATGTTACGTCTAATATTAAAAAATAGTTTTTGAATAAGTTGAATAATTTTGTTCTTTCACAAAAAATAAAAGCAAAATTAAAAATTCCGCCAAACAAGCTCTGTATAGAGTGTTTGATATGATATAGTTGTCTTATAATTTGGTTCTGTTGCCAATCCAAATCGTTGAAGATCGACTTACTTCTATTGTTGAGGTAAAATTTCTGAAAGGAAATTAACGTAGTTCTTAAAATATACAAGAAACGTTATTACGTATCAAACATGTCATAGTCTGAACTGCAAATCCTCGTGTCTCAACCTCATTACACTAAACCTACATTTCTTAATGTTTTTTAGCTGTAAAAAGAGCAAGTGGTAATTATTCTATGAAAAATAAGTTACCCACCCACGTTCTAGTAGCTCTTTATTTGATGCTGCTGATGCTTCTACATTGTAATCTGCAAATTCAAACTTACCCAGAAATATTTTAGGACCCTGTCCCTACTGTCATTTGAATTCAAAATTACACAAGGCTGCATTTTCACAAAAAATTATCAACCAAATCTTACACAGAAGTAATAAATTATTTTCCCTTGAGAAATACAAGATTCTAGTTCAGATTGAGTTGAAAAGATGTTTAGGATACCTTTCAGACTGACTTAAAATGCACTTATAGGCTATAGCTCTGCTGATTCACAATATTGCCTAGTTAATATATGTTTATACCAGCATGTTTCTCTTTTATTTATTTGAATATGATCAAGGTTCCAGCTCATATATCTGAGCTGATACATTTCTTGGAATAACGGGTATAGTAGATCCCTTCAGTCTTATTCTCAATAAATTTAAGGTCGACACTATAAATCCTTCTTTAGGCATAGTACGGTCAACCAGCTTGTCTTATGAACACCGCCTTTATTTCTTTAATACAGCGTGTTACCATTTTTCATAATATATAAAGAAAAAGCAGTTATTGGGACTCTAGCTTTGACTCTGGTTTGAACTTTGAACTCTGAACTATATAAAAACCCATAATGTGTACTCTGTGCTACTCCCTTTCAGTTGGTGAACAAAAAGAATTTTCAAGAACAAAAAATTTCGTGCAAATGGCGTCTGTAAATTTTGCAGGATTAATACTGTGTTTTATCTTCATTTTTCTTTCCCTACATAGCCCTGCTGCAAATGGAAATGAAGGAACAGGAGAATATGCGTCTTTTCACTATGTAAGTTTCTTTATTCCTTAGTTGATTTTTGTACTTAAAAATGTTAATAATAATTGTTGAAAATACTTAATGCAGGATGTTCATGAGGATATTTCTACTGCTCCTCTTGAAGTTAATGGAAGAAAGAGTATAGGAGGAAGAAAAATTCTGTTAAAAGAATCGTCCATGCGCAAGGTCGAGAAAGAGAAAGGACAAGAAAAACCATCAAGTATTTCAGGTATAGATTTTATTCTGAATTCGTTAATTTAAAATGAATCAAATCTGCCGACTGGATTTTTGTCCAGGACGATCGGTTGAATTCACTTATAAACATTTTTAAGTACTCTACTACAGGGAAATATAGACCTGCTTACCAGAAGAACAGTGATGAAATATTCAAGCAAAAGAGACAGAAATCTGAAGGCATAGGGGCTCCAAGTGATCCCAACACTGGAAATGGAAACATGTTTCACAAAAGTAATCACAAAACTCGTGAAAAAGATGATTCGCGTGCATTTCTTGAGGCAGCGGACGAGGTTGTAAACCTGATGCGCAAGGACTATAAGGGTGCAGATTGGCCTCGCCGGAAGCCACCAATTCATAATCACGAGCCAACAGATTAAAAACAGATTACGAATAACGTACTTGTATAGGTTTAGACTTTACAATTTTGCCCCCCAAGTGAAGTCACCTGACAGTAACAACTGTATTTTGTTATAGGATTGTGTTTATGTACTCTTTACTTGAAATTATCGACTAGAAACTCGTTAACTTTGTACAATGTACACTATACATTTACTCTCAAAGTCTTTTTTCCTTATTATTAATTATTAAACTTCTCAAGTTTATGTTTCTATCTTTTGAAATCCTGTCTCTGGCACACACACACATTATGTTCTTTCAAATGCTGGAAAAAACCCATGTATCAGTAACTTCAATGTCATTGCACAAGAATGTTCTTTTCCTAGTACATGTTCTTTCAAATCTGTACGAGGTCTTTAATGTTTTTAGGAATGCAAACAGAAGTACCGTTGATACAGCGGGTTCCAACGACCTTATATACAGCTTCTGTTACATGAAAGCCATCCCAGAAGTAGTGTTTGTCCGGCTCATGGCATGCCGGCAGTAATGGAATGCAGCCTGAAGTCCCATTAGCCCATGTAATGCAGCACGGATTACTCGAGTCTTTTAAACCTGTAAATAGCAATTTTTTTTATATCAATCTGATAAAATGTACTGAGTTTTATGTGTGACATTAGAATTGGTTACCATAATTAGATGGATTTATGACGGCATCATAGCTAAGCATATGAACTCGACCAAGTGTAAATTCCGAGTCTTGCAATGTTGATGTCAAATTCTTAAGCAAGGTGGCTAACTGGTCGTTAAAGGTTATTGCGAGCTGGTTAATCTTCTCCACGCATCGTCCACTGGGCTTAAACTTCCTTGTAACTGATGGAATGCATCCAATAGGTCCAATTTCAAACATTATTATTTTCCTTGCTCCTATTTCGTACAGTCTCTGCACTCAAAACAAATATTTTAGTATTCTTATCTTATGTTTGTTGTTTTTGGATGGCAGTGTATTTAAGGATCGTGTTGGGCCATGCTCGGATTGACAGTTGAGCACAGACATACGTCAAGGGCTTGATTGTAGAGGACCACGACCTGCGTAGGTCTGTTAATATTTATAATGCCGTACCTGAAATTGTTGGGATACGTTGTCTATGAGAAGTTTGGCAAAAGATTGAGGATCATAACGGCTTTTTGGTGGTAATAACTGTGGTTTAATATAGTTGAGGTAGTCGTTGCTGCCGATAGTAATGACAAACACTGATTTTGACAAATAATCTGAAACTTCGGACGAGGTTTTGTAGTGCTTGGGCAATTCCTGTTCAACCGTATGGTTAAACAAGTCGATTTGCTCAACGAAATTCAAGCATTTACCCTGCAACAATTCAAAAAATAAATAAAAATTAGATCACATTATAACTAATGCATAGAAAAAATAATAATAATAATTTCCTACAGTTGATTTTCCAGTCTCAGGAAGAATGCCACTGGATGCTGATGCAAAATTCAGCCCTGTCAACTCTGGTGATCCTCTTAAACTCAAGTATGGAGGTGAATATGGCAATCCAATAAACTCAGCTGGAAAAAATCGAGAAATTGCATGAGAAATATATATTCACTCATTAAAAATAAAAAATAAAAAAAGGCATGGCCTGAAATGCTACCAACTAAATCAGGAAATATTTTTCCGTTCGTAAATCTTCCGGTGGCTCCTCCGTTAAAATCCACACCTTAGGGCGGAAAATTCGCCTTGGATAGAGTTGGTAAAAAATTATTATTCCCACTATCAAACAAAGAATCACCAAAAATGTATAATGCAGGAGCAGTAGGAGAATCAGAATTCCCTGAAAATATGTACAACAAAAACAACATAATCAGAATCATAAATTTCTCCATTGCCTTCTTTTCTTCTCCGGCGCACGAAAAATCAGCAATGGTGTGCAAAGGGAAGCCTTTTTAAAGGACAGATAGGCCTAACTTGAATATAAATAGAGTCGGGTGCAATATGAATAATGCTATCTATCATTAATAAAGATGCATGACCGTTTAGGTGGCAGTGGTTCCAAATGTGACACTGCAAAGGACCACTTTACCCAATCGACGATGTATCTCTATTAATGATATTACATTACTCTGCAATTATATCTGAATGCATGTAAATGAAAATCATACAGTCAACTTTATAGGATAATACTTCATTTGTAATTTTATGGCAAAGTCAAACAATACTCCACCAACAATGTTATATTTGGTGCTCTTTAATAATTGACTAGTTAGTGTATGTTTGGTAAGGTATAAATTAAAATTTATGTTATTTTATATTGTGGGTCTACAAACGTGTGAATAATAAATGGATAGTAGTTGTGAATACTAAAAAATGTGTAAATTAAAATCATTTCCACGTGTTTTAGTCTCGATCTTTTTCTAAATAAATGTACCGAGCAATTGGAAAAAAAAAAAAACCGTCACTTAATTATTATAATTTATTTTTATTTTCTACTGCATTTTGCAATGTCTATAGATTAAAAGATTAAAATGTACTTTTTTTAAAAAAAAAAAAAACCTTTTTATGATGCAACATTGGTAAGTTGGTATGTCACCTAGCCAATTAAACAATTTCATAAATTTGGGATATGACAAGTGACATGATGGTAAAATTTGAAACAAAATTAAAGTCAACTACTCAATTGAAACTAAATAGAATTTTAACGACCCAATTGATACAAATTAAAATTTGGGATAAATTCACAACTCGGGCTTTATCTATCCCAAAATCAAAAATCAAGTCCCAAGGTTTAGAATTGCAAAAATTAGGTTTTTCATGAATTAATTAATTATATTTTACAATTATTATATTAAATTAAATATTTAACTATAATATAATATAATTAATCCACCC